GCGGTCATCGGTTGCGCTGTATATCAGCCCTAGAATTGGCAGATCTTCGCTCTTCAAACGGAGTGTCTGTTAAGGAAATGATTGATAATTCCGTGTTTGACAACAATTTGGTGATGAATATCTATAAAAACAACGAATTGGGTTCCTATAGACACGTGAGTCTTAATGTGGATCGCCTGACAAGGAGTCGGTGCGAACAAGTGGTGGGCATGAGATCGGCGAAGAACACGATCCAGTGGTTTGAATCCAAACACAATATGTGGTCAGAAAGTCAGTTGAATAACGAATACAATACTATAGTAAAAGTGTATTTTGCGGCTCTTAACCAATCGGACGTGAGTTTGATGTCAGGCGACGATTACAAGGGTTTGTGCTCTGAATTTAGCGGAATTGATGAGACGGGACAACCAGTGATCGGCATTAAGCCAAATGCATGTCTGGCCACAACTCTGGTCTATAACAATAGGAATGATTACATACGAGTGCCTCAAAAGTGGTCACTTTCTGAGGCGAGTACGGTTCCCATTGCTTACGGCACCGCCTACTGGGCTCTTGTGATCAGAGCTCAGGTCCAGTCGCGACAAACTATATTAATCAACGGAGCGGACAGTTGTATGGGTTGGGCAGCCGTTGCCGTTAGTCTTAGCCGTGAGTGCGAAGTATTTGCAAGCGTTGGAAGTGTTGAGGCAAAGAGGGAACTGCTGGAAGAGTTTCCAGCTTTGAATGATTTAAACATTATAAACACATCAATTGATTGTTTGCAACAAATAGTTATGGAAAACACGCTCTCAAAGGGCGTCGATATTGTCTATAATCACAATAATTATACAAAAATGGGAACAAGTCTTAAGTGTATTAAACACAACGGAAGACTTATTGAGATTGGCTTTAGTGACACTTCAGTTGCAAATGGTATGTCTTAATTAAAAACATATTCAATTATTTAATACAAGTATTTTAATCATAGGTTTATCTGTTGATAAAAACATAACAATTGATAAAATTGTTTTTGAAGATATATTCAGCGATAGTTTTGATGATTTAAATAACTCTTCAGTAAAATATCAAGTTTTAAGTCTTCTTGAAGAGGGAATCAGCGATAATGTGGTCAAACCTTTTCGTATAAACAAAATTTTTAATGTTGAGAACGCGAGTGAAGCGCTTCGTTATCTCAATACAAAAATTGGGCGAAAAAACAAAGTTTTAATCAAAATGGGAGAAGAAGTCTATAAGAATAAAGCAGAAGGTGTTGGCAATCAAATGCATTTGGAAGCCATTCACGACACCCGCTTCCCGAGTGACGTGTCTTTCATAATAACTGACGGATTGGAAGGGTTTGGACTCGAAGTGATCAATTGGTTGGTCCAAAGGGGAGCTCGACATCTGGTTCTAACTAATAACTCAGACATTAAGAATGAGTTCCAAGAGTTTTGTCTTTCATAATAACTGACGGATTGGAAGGGTTTGGACTCGAAGTGATCAATTGGTTGGTCCAAAGGGGAGCTCGACATCTGGTTCTAACTAATAACTCAGACATTAAGAATGAGTTCCAAGAGTTTATTATCAAAAGACTGAACGCTTTTGGAGCGAATGTATTGATTTCAAAAGTAGACACAAGTAATGAGGAAGAGTTGGAAGCGTTAATCAAAGAAACGGCCAATCGGTTCCCAATTTGTGGTATATTTTGCGTTGAAATGCTTTTAAGCGATGATTTGCTTCAAAATCATACACAAGAATCGATGGCCAAAGTGTTGGCACCGAAAGTACAGGCATTCAATCATTTGGATGTCTTGTCGCGTGTGTTGTGCTCTGAGTTGAAATATTTTGTCGCCTTTTCGTCGGTGAGCGCCGGGAAGGGAATCGCGGGCCAAAGTAACGCGGGTTATATCAACTCATATATTGAGCGCATTTGCGAACAAAGACGCTTCGATGGTCTGCCGGGTCTCGCCATTCAATGGGGATCTGTTGGACACATGAGGACAGATACTAGCCTTACAGTCACTCAACCCATGCACTCATGTCTGTCTCTTTTAAATCATTTTGTGCGAACATCTGATCCCGTGATCACCAGTTTCTTGCAATTTGAGACAAAAGCGATTGAAAACAACCAAAAAGTGGATATAATTGGTTTGATTGCAAACATTTTGGGTGAGATTGTTGTGTGAAATGCGAATATTTAACAAATTTTCACTTAAATTAATAGGAATAACAGATCTCTCAATAATTGGCACAAATATGAAGATGTCTGAAATGGGAACCGATTCTGTGACTGTTGTGGAGATTCAACAATCACTCGAACGACAATTTCAATTGACTCTAAGTTTACAACAATTAAATGATTTAACGTTTGGAGAAATCGTTAAATTGAATTCAAATCTGATCTAAAATGTACTCATTTTTAACCAATTATAAAATGTTGACAAAATAAATAATATAACAGTAACTCAAATGATTGATAGAGATATCGATTTAGTGACAACTTTTTAATCTCTGTTTCGCAATATTTTTCCCGATCATTAAAACTTTTAATTTAAAAACCATTCAAAAATTACAAGTTTCTAAAAGTTTGAATAAACTGCAAAATAAATAAAAATCAAACTAAAATACGAAATGAGTTAAAAATAAAAGTATAGACGTTAGGTTGAGTTATCAGCGATAAACAAACCCATTGTCAGTGCTGGACACACTGTGTCCGACACAGACTAATGATTCACACGTAAAGTTTTGGTTGTCTCGTCTCAACTCTTGGGACTCGATTCGAGATGTATTTAACTTCAATGCATTGACTCTTTGGGCTGCGATTAATGAAAATGTGTGTCCTTTGAGGTGATGTTTGAGGCAATGGGACTCGTCTTCAATGAATTGAATTGTATGAAGAAAAACGTGTATCGAGTGATTGGTGTATTACGAGAAGGGCTTTCTTTTATGTTCAACTGCAACGACCGGCTAATGATAGCCAGACTTAACATTGTAAATTTTATGTATAAGCTATTGATTTATTTTGAGATAACGTATGTTCTGTTGTAAAAATCAAATTAAATATTATTTTTATATGAAGTAAATGGAAATTTTAACTATATTTTGCATTAACAGTAAATGTACGAAAGCAAAAAACATCGCCACGAGTTTACTATATGAATTCATTTGTATGTTTCAAAAACAAGTTCATAATTGATGTCAAAATAAATAATTAAATAGCATTTGAATACCCATTTAATACATAATACTCTATAACTGACATCAAAACGCGAGTCTATTCTCAATAGAATAGCTATGAATGCGTTAAACTAATGTCATTACTGGGAAAGCAATGTTAAATTCCGGCACAGATTTTTGAAACACAACATTAATTGACTTTTATTTAATTATATGAATGAAAATAACGTTTAATTTTAGCGTAACTTCTATTGAGAAAAGTTTGCGATTTCATGTTAAGGATTTACGTCCAATGTTTGCTATTTATATTCATTATTAGTTTTTTACACAGATTTAATATATAAAGCCATTCAAAATGGGATTTATTTATCAAAAATTTCAAATAGTTATTCACTGATAACTTAGCAAAGAGTATAATAAAATGCCTTATTTTTTAAATAAAAAACTTTTCATTACTTTCTTTATAATTTTAAGTTTATATGTAATTTTGTATAATTATATACAGAGCTTTAATTATGTGATAAATGTACTTGGTCGACTGTCTGCATCTCTATACCTGTCTTATGTGATTCTCGATAAACTCAGAATATTCTGGACTCGACTGCAAACAAATAGACAACCCTTTAAAAAACATTCCGGCGCTGTTCTCATAACAGGTATTTATTGATTCAAATAGTTTAATATTTTGTATAAAATGTTGTCTTCTTTTATACTTAATAATAACATGCATTTCTTGTTCAAAGGCTGTGATACAGGTTTCGGCAATCGATTGGCGTATCGTTTAAACGAAATGGGTTTTAGAGTTTACGCCACTGTTTTAGACACTGAAAGCGTTGGCGCAAAGGATTTGGTGGAAAATTGCAAATTCAAAGACAGACTTAAAACAGTGGCTATGAATGTGACCAAACAGACTGATATCGACCGCGTCTTCCAATTCGTGGAAAGAGATCTCAGCGATAATAACGAGAATTTGTACGCAATTGTCAACAACGCCGGCATTACACACGTCGGTCACGTAGACTGGGGTCGTATGGATGCCTATAAGAATGTGATAAATGTGAATGCGTTTGGAACCGTTGCGTCGATAATAACGAGAATTTGTACGCAATTGTCAACAACGCCGGCATTACACACGTCGGTCACGTAGACTGGGGTCGTATGGATGCCTATAAGAACGTGATGAATGTGAATGCGTTTGGAACCGTTGCGGTGACGCTTAGATTTCTGTCATTGATTAAGCAATCGAGAGGTATTTTCTTTTAACTAATGAAGTTTTTAAACCCAATAAATTGATTGATAAATATAAAGGTTTGTTATCCTTCTTATTATTTGTACTCAAGTCAATTGCCTTCTTACTGAAAGGTCTTCTGCTCAGTAATGACATACTCATTTGTGCGCTAGTGACGGAAGTCACTACGAGAGTCGCGTGAACTGTCGGCCGATTGTGGGGTTCGGGTGACCACTATTGAGCCCGCGTTCTATAGGACACCACTTCTCGCTAATAATAACTATAAACGAGTTATGGATAGAGAGTGGGAACTGACGGACAGCGCTGTGAAACAAGTGTACGGACAGTCGTATTTCGATAGTATGGACAAAATGGCCAAAAGTATTGACTGTTTTGTTGGCAATCGTATCGACGATGTGGTCGACAATATTGTGGACAGTATTGCGAGTCCTTCTCCACAAACAAGATATTTAACAATTCATGGATTTGTAATTAAATTTCTAATATATTTAGGAGAGAGAACTCCTTCCGAATGGTTTGACACTATTTATAATTTAATTGAAAAAATCACTTTTAGATACGATAAGATTGAAAAAGCTTAAATATTTAAATGAATATTCTGTACATAATTTTAAAGCAACTAAAACACTCATTTGTGTTCATATTGAATAGGTGACATTTAATTATAGTTAAATATACAGTTTACATAAACTAATAAACAAATTACTTAAAAATGCTTTTCATTTATTCAATCAATTCATCGGGAGTTTTAAGGGTATAGAGAACTCTATTTCGTTGAAATTGTTTTGATTTGCGAAATACAAGATCTGTTCCGAAAAATTGGTCTAAAATTCCCGAAACACCAAAGTTTTGATTTGGACTAAAAGAGAAATAAAATATGAAAATCTTATATTAAACATATGATTGAAGGCATACTGCGAGTGATGGTATTCGTGAAACTGTGGGGAAGCCGTGAGGGGCAGATGAAAGCCCGAGTGGGTGTGAACTGATGTCAAAGTGCCAAACGCTATCCAAAACCATAGGAATGCCAAATGTGATGTGAGAAGCAATGGGCCTAAAACATGACAAATACTGTAAATTTGTCATAGATTAACGCATAGATAGTAAAACCTAAATAAAGTGGAAAGAGATTTGAGAAAATGTGTTCAAAAGGATGACAATAAGCTGAAGCAATAGCTGTGGGAGTGGTGTACTCGTGGTGTTTATAATGGATATATTTGTATAATTTTTTCAAATGTAATAATCGGTGAGTGGAATAAAAGCCAAACTCTTCGACAACCATACAAAACATGAGTTGATATAAAAATCTCCAATAATTAATTTGACAACTTTTGGAGTCGTGTTTCAATAGCACTTTGAAGGCAAACAAATAGAGTCCCAAATATATGATTATTTGGTTGAGCACAACACCCTTGATGGTTTTACTAAAGTCTTTTGATGTAACCTATATTTAAAACACTCAACATTTCAAACAAATTGAATATAAAATGCATTTTAATACTTGATATGTTTTGTCAATCTTGTATTTGTAGATACAAGCGGGCCATCGATATAAGTCAATGAATGAATACGTAAGACTTGATATCCAGTAAACACTGAATGACCAAATAAATGTACCATGGTGTTGTATCTTCAAATCGTACTTGATAAAAATATCAACCATTTCGTCCCATAAGCCATACATGTATTTAGTGAATGGATTCCACAAACTTTTTAAATACCATATAATTGTTTATATTAATAGTTAAAATTAAAAAATTATTTAATTTTAAATAGAAACAATTTGTTTACCAGAATAGTATAGATATAATGATAATCACGACTGAAACAAGTCGTTTATCAATATATTCACTCATTGTTTTAATTTTTAGCTGTAATCGCAGTTAATCCCGAAATATTGATAACGTTTTATTTAAAATTACCAATTTATTAGTATTTTTAATTTTATAATTTTTATAAACTATTTACAATTATTCACAATTGAAAATAATTTAAATTAAAAATACAGAGCGGAAGGATGTCAAGTAATTCGCAATTAATGTATTGCAAACTTGTAATTATCATTATTACGACAACAATAAATGTGTTTAAATATTTGTACAGTAAATGTTTATGAATAGTTATATTTGTTAAAATAAAGCATTAATTAAAAAAGACAAATACAACTATTGAAACACTTCTTGCGATGGTTTAGTAGTCAAAAGCCATTTATGTCTTTGACTTTCCTTTGATTTGCGGAACAGTTTGTCTGTCAATACTTAAAACAGGTAATAAGGGTTTTGTGGTTTCAAAACTAATTTTGATTTAGTAACTTTTGTTTTACTTAACTAAAATAGTTACTTTAGTAATTTTGTATGACGCTCACTACTATCAATACTTTTTGCGGGGACAGTCCGAGGGGTAAATGAAAGCCAGAGTGGGTGTGAAGTGAAGTAATAGTTGCTATTGCTATCCATAACCATAAAAAGGCCAGGTGTGAGTTCAATAGCATTGGACCTAAAAATATCAATTATTTAATTTGCAAATAAAGTCTGTTATAGTGTTGTAGTTATTTTATACCTAAATAAATGGGCAAAACATTGGAGATTATGTGCTCTATTGGATGACAATAAGAGGCGGCAATAGCTGTGGGAACCGTCCAGTGATGGTGTTTGGAGTGAATGTATTTGTAAAACTTGTTTAAATGCAATAACCTATGGGCAAAACATTGGAGATTATGTGCTCTATTGGATGACAATAAGAGGCGGCAATAGCTGTGGGAACCGTCCAGTGATGGTGTTTGGAGTGAATGTATTTGTAAAACTTGTTTAAATGCAATAACCGGTGGCTGTAGTAAAAGCCCATCTCTTCAATCACAACACAAATTAATAAATGAATCAAAATTCGCCAATAATTTGGTGAAAAGTCTTGTCGACTGACACTGTATTCATGTCTTCTTAGAATTGGCAATGAAATCAATGAAAGAGCGAATTGTATTAATATTTGATTTAATAAAACATTTTTCATAGTTTTGTAAACGTCTTTAGATGTGACCTAAAATGTCAAATGTTATTATTAATTTTAATATTATACTTAAATTAATGATGGTAAACAAACTTTATATGATTTATCAATTTTGTATTTGTAAATACTTTTGGGACCTCTTATTAAATCAATTGCTGTATAACTGAAGCCAATTATCCAATAGATTAGAAAAGACCACAAAAATGTGCCGTAAATGTGAATATTTATATTATTTTCTACAAACAATTGCATTACTGAATCCCATATACTAATCATGGTTACAAATATAGGGTTCCACAAACTTTAATTAAATAAATTTTGTTAATAATATTAAATTAAAAGTTTATTTTACTTTTCTTACTAAAATACTTACTAAATAATGACCGAGAATATAACCATGATCACCATTACAAATATACGGTCATAAACTATGCCATTCATCGTTAAATTAATATTATCTAATTTTGAAGTCAAATAAAAATAAAATACAAAAATTGCATTGAATATAAAACAACTCAATTCTATTTGGTATAAACTATTATTTATGAAACTATCGTTTTATAACTCAAATCAATGAGTTAATCAAAATTTAACGATTTAACGCAAAACAATACATTTACGTAGATTTTCATTGATTTCTAATGTATTTGAAACGTCAACTAAAAATGATTTTATTTGTCAAACTCTTCCTTTTGCAACATTTATCAGTGTTTAAAACAATATTTTATTTTTATATTTAATAATAATTATTGTATTATTAATAATTTATTATTATAGTTTAAAATATTGAGAGTGAAATAAATAATGATGCTAGATTTATTTTAAGTTAGATTTAAATAAATATTACGCCTGTATTATATCATTTCGACACTTATTAATTTACATTAATAAAAAAATCACATTAATACTTGTCTAACACTACCTGTGCTCAAACGTATCATTAATTAATTAAAATATATCATTTACTTTAATCAACAAGTGTTTTATCTCCAGACACTGTTCAATCTGTCTAAACAGTAAAACTCTACTAAACTAATGTGTTTTCATTAATTCTCACTATATTTTCAAAATAATTAATTTATTAAAACTAACTAATGTTTAATTTGGTAAATGCATTAAGCATAATTCATAGGCATGTTTAAACTCGACGTACATTTTCAAGTTTTTATAAGTATTTTTCTCGATTTAATCCTATAGTTAGGAAAGAATGCTAAATAATTGATGACATTGTAACACTTGGTAAAAGATTAGCAAAATGTGTGCAATAAAACACGTTGGGAATTTATAAAAATAAAATTAATTTGGACAGCCGTCTCTCAATAACTTAAGCGAGACCAATATCAGGTGGTTCGTTGGTCTAGGGGTATGATTCTCGCTTAGGGTGCGAGAGGTCCCGGGTTCAANTGTTTATATATTCAGCGGAGAGAATAACTTATTTGATATGATTTATATGAACACGTGGTGCCGAATGGGACCGTATTTTGTTGGTCTATATTTAGGACACAGTATTGAAAAGTATTCACATAAAGAGTACAGAAGAGAGAATTTAAAGCAAATACTATTGTTTAAGAAACTATTGTCTTATTTAGCCATTTTGGTTATTTTATTGTCAACTATTGGTCTCTTGGAAACAACATCTTTGTGGTCGTGTATAGCACTGGCCAGTTATCGCCAGATATGGGCGCTCTGTCTTTATTACATACTTTTGATGATATATAATATTGATAATCAAAAAGTGATGGATATCTGCGGCCATAGGTATTGGAAACCGTTTCGCGAGATAACAACGACTGTGAATCTCATTCATCCGATATTTTTCACGACTATAATAGACGTCATAAACATTGAGGACATGTCAGATGTGAACATATTTTTCACATTTATTTTATTAATTCCGGTTATTTTTTTCCTGTCATTAATGTTGTATTTAATGATAGAAATGCCTATCAATTCACTGCTCACACATCCAAATAAAATTCACTACAAATGACCTCTTTTAGAGCAAACGTTATGTATTTTAAATCATTTTATATTTGTTAAATTAACTCATTTTAATAAACTTTTTTACAATTACCACAATTGATACAACTGCTGATGAATGAAATAAATAAAATAATAGTATTAAGATAAATTATTTATTATGCTATTTCGTTATTTTACCGTATTAACAAATGAAACTAAAAAAGTAAAATATAAAAATGTATATAACTTGGGCTCGTCCGGGATTTGAACCCGGGACCTCTCGCACCCTAAGCGAGAATCATACCCCTAGACCAACGAACCACCTGATATTGGTCTCGCTTAAGTTATTGAGAGACGGCTGTCCAAATTAATTTTATTTTTATAAATTCCCAACGTGTTTTATTGCACACATTTTGCTAATCTTTTACCAAGTGTTACAATGTCATCAATTATTTAGCATTCTTTCCTAACTATAGGATTAAATCGAGAAAAATACTTATAAAAACTTGAAAATGTACGTCGAGTTTAAACATGCCTATGAATTATGCTTAATGCATTTACCAAATTAAACATTAGTTAGTTTTAATAAATTAATTATTTTGAAAATATAGTGAGAATTAATGAAAACACATTAGTTTAGTAGAGTTTTACTGTTTAGACAGATTGAACAGTGTCTGGAGATAAAACACTTGTTGATTAAAGTAAATGATATATTTTAATTAATTAATGATACGTTTGAGCACAGGTAGTGTTAGACAAGTATTAATGTGATTTTTTTATTAATGTAAATTAATAAGTGTCGAAATGATATAATACAGGCGTAATATTTATTTAAATCTAACTTAAAATAAATCTAGCATCATTATTTATTTCACTCTCAATATTTTAAACTATAATAATAAATTATTAATAATACAATAATTATTATTAAATATAAAAATAAAATATTGTTTTAAACACTGATAAATGTTGCAAAAGGAAGAGTTTGACAAATAAAATCATTTTTAGTTGACGTTTCAAATACATTAGAAATCAATGAAAATCTACGTAAATGTATTGTTTTGCGTTAAATCGTTAAATTTTGATTAACTCATTGATTTGAGTTATAAAACGATAGTTTCATAAATAATAGTTTATACCAAATAGAATTGAGTTGTTTTATATTCAATGCAATTTTTGTATTTTATTTTTATTTGACTTCAAAATTAGATAATATTAATTTAACGATGAATGGCATAGTTTATGACCGTATATTTGTAATGGTGATCATGGTTATATTCTCGGTCATTATTTAGTAAGTATTTTAGTAAGAAAAGTAAAATAAACTTTTAATTTAATATTATTAACAAAATTTATTTAATTAAAGTTTGTGGAACCCTATATTTGTAACCATGATTGGTATATGGGATTCAGTAATGCAATTGTTTGTAGAAAATAATATAAATATTCACATTTACGGCACATTTTTGTGGTCTTTTCTAATCTATTGGATAATTGGCTTCAGTTATACAGCAATTGATTTAATAAGAGGTCCCAAAAGTATTTACAAATACAAAATTAATAAATCATATAAAGTTTGTTTACCATCATTAATTTAAGTATAATATTAAAATTAATAATAACATTTGACATTTTAGGTCACATCTAAAGACGTTTATAAAACTATGAAAAATGTTTTATTAAATCAAATATTAATACAATTCGCTCTTTCATTGATTTCATTGCCGATTCTAAGAAGACATGAATACAGTGTCAGTCGACAAGACTTTTCACCAAATTATTGGCGAATTTTGATTCATCTACTGATTTGTGTTGTAATCGAAGAGATGGGCTTTTACTACAGCCACAGGTTATTGCATTTAAACAAGTTTTACAAATACATTCACTCCAAACACCATCACTGGACGGTTCCCACAGCTATTGCCGCCTCTTATTGTCATCCAATAGAGCACATAATCTCCAATGTTTTGCCCATTTATTTAGGTATAAAATAACTACAACACTATAACAGACTTTATTTGCAAATTAAATAATTGATATTTTTAGGTCCAATGCTATTGAACTCACACCTGGCCTTTTTATGGTTATGGATAGCAATAGCAACTATTACTTCACTTCACACCCACTCTGGCTTTCATTTACCCCTCGGACTGTCCCCGCAATTTCATAACTATCATCACTCGCAGTATGTTTTAATGATTTCATTGATAAAATCAATTCATTTTGTTTTCAATGATTTAGTTTTAATCAAAACTTTGGTGTTTTGGGAATAATGGACAAAATTCATAAGACAGACAAACTGTTCCGCAAATCAAAGGAAAGTCAAAGACATAAATGGCTTTTGACTACTAAACCATCGCAAGAAGTGTTTCAATAGTTGTATTTGTCTTTTTTAATTAATGCTTTATTTTAACAAATATAACTATTCATAAACATTTACTGTACAAATATTTAAACACATTTATTGTTGTCGTAATAATGATAATTACAAGTTTGCAATACATTAATTGCGAATTACTTGACATCCTTCCGCTCTGTATTTTTAATTTAAATTATTTTCAATTGTGAATAATTGTAAATAGTTTATAAAAATTATAAAATTAAAAATACTAATAAATTGGTAATTTTAAATAAAACGTTATCAATATTTCGGGATTAACTGCGATTACAGCTAAAAATTAAAACAATGAGTGAATATATTGATAAACGACTTGTTTCAGTCGTGATTATCATTATATCTATACTATTCTGGTAAACAAATTGTTTCTATTTAAAATTAAATAATTTTTTAATTT